TATTGGTACCTGGGGATGAAGCCGATATCCGTGGGGTAAAATTCGACTACAAACTAACCATGAAGAACCACGTTTTAAAACTGGCAAACAAGATAGCGAGGAAGCTTACTGCACTTTGATGCATCTCGCATCTGCTTGACAGTAGAGGTTGCAACATTCTCTACGAGGCACAAGTACCCTCATACCTTGAGTATGCTCCACTTTCTTGGATTTCCTCCCTCCCCCCCCCTTCTCATCTGCGACTTGACAGAATAGAGAACAAAGCAAGACGCCTCATCTCTCGCCCGGATACCGCCTGGACAAATCTGTCATTCCAGCAGAGCTTTCAACACAAGAGGGATGTGGGCGGCCTTACTGTTATGTACAAAGCCAATATTTTCACTTGGCTTAACTCCGAGGACAGCGACAACTGAGTTCTGCTCAACAAGACAGGCAACAAAACTACACTGTACCCTTCACCAGAACATCACTTCATCTGACATTATTTATTCTTAGGATAACTCGTGCCTGGAACATGTTCGTACAACATATCATCGAAATAAAATCAGTTGACCAAATGAAATCACTGGCCCACAGATGGCTTCAACTTCAACGATCTGATGTACGTAACGGTACTTTGCTTGTAATTAAAGTTAAGAACCCTAAACCTAACCTTGTAAACCCTATATAAAGAGAGATAAGAGGGGAGGGGGTGAGCATACTAACCTACATGTGGCTGCAGGGTCGAGCTTCAGCTCGACCACTTGCTTGGTTTACTTCCTCTGTTCTCCTGGGCTCTGTAATGCATTCTCTAAAACCTATGGAAGGGGGTTGGCTCCAGTACTTTTGGGTCCAGGTCATTCCACTCCCTAACAACCCTCAGGCTAGAGGAATACCTCCGACATTTGTGTTATTCAGCTTCCAGTTGTATCCTCTTGTACTTGTTTGCCGCTTCTCAGAGAGTTTATCCCTGCACTATTCTAAGTACTCATTGATATACCTATTCTCCTTGACTGTTTTGCCTAGGATGCCTTATTAAATCCTTGGTTCACCTCCTCACAGACCACAGGCTCCCTTCCTTTCTTCTTCAGTCATATTTCCTGGTCATTTACTCTCGTCTTTCTTCTGATATGGTTGTCAAGCCTTTTCGGTTCTGATTTGGCATTTGCTGCCGTATCACTCTCTAATTTTGCTCTGTTTCTTTCCTTTCTTTTGTCAAGTTCTCTCGCTCGCTCGCGATCTCTCGCTCTTGTAACATCCTGCGCCTCCTAGTTATCCGACATCTCTAATAATGACTTCTAGGCTCACCTTTTTTTTATTATTCTCCTCCTTTTTCCTTCAGTATTCCTTCCATTCTATCCTTTCTCATTTTTCCATAGTTTTATCAGGTTTTTCTTCAGCTTATTCTTCAGCTATGATTGCCTTTCTCCTGCACCAGGGTATCTTTCTTTTCTTTTTACACATTTCCAGAGTTTCTTTCCAGACATTAATAAACTCCATTCTCACTACTAACATATTTTGCTCCTCAGACCAGCAATTATCATATAACATTGTCACCTATCTTTTCCTGTCTTTGCTTTCTCGTTTTGGATTTCTGCTTGGATTACCATTTTCTTGCCCTCTAGGCTTTACACAGTCAAGTGAACAAAGTAGACGTACGTGTGTGTATGTGTGTGTGTGTGTGTGTGTGTGTGTGTGTGTGTGTGTGTGTGTGTGTGTGTGTGTGTGTGTGTGTGTGTGTGTGTGTGTGTGTGTGTAAGTAAATCTTTGGTGCAGTTCATGAGGGCTCACAACCTCAAACTAAATAGAAAAACTTCGAAGAAAAATCTTGGGATTCCTGTATGGAGCCACTTCAATACTCTTCTTATATTACAGCCCAATTCTTTAACACATATTTACTTACACAGATAGTACATTATGTAAAATGGTACGAAAGTTTACAGCATAAATTTTAAGTAGAACTCAAGTGTATTTCAAAGCAATTACCCCACTTACACTTTCCCTCTTGGAAGTCACGATGAACTACAGCGTCTGAAACAATTCTTGACTAGCTGGATAATCTGAAGATTGAACAAGAGGTAATCGAAATATCGAAAAACACTTTGTACTTTCTCACAAGATGCCTGAGCCTGTCCAGGCTAACATATTTCCTGAGACATGCATCTACATGTTCACATGGCCCTTCTCCGACTGAACACGTCGACTCTAGGCTGAGGGACTGATTTCCTCAAATTCCTCATCTTTCACCGTTCTCTGTATTGGACTGAACAAGCCACTATCTGGCGAAACGTTTCCAGAATAAAGATTCCCCAATGTTACACAAGTATCTTAAACTTGTCGGTTTTCTAAGTCATCTGTACCAAACCCAGACGTAACAAAACGAACGCAATACTACAGTCTCCTGTTGTCGATAATCAAAATATTCGATCATACGCTGAAGACGAGCAGTGGAACTAAGTTTTAGTTCCAGTGGTGCTAGGTGCCATAAATGTCCACAAACATTACGTAATTGTGTTTTCAACTGGTTAAAGCTTCTATAGAAATATTGACTGATTACGAAAATTATCGATTCTACTCAGTTTGGAGTACCATCTTGTGAATAAGATATCAATCTTCCCCTACTAGTGTTGAGAAGAGGACGATGTGGGTTGAGGCTAGAAACTGAAGGTTATTAAGAGGGAATTGGGATGAAGATGTCTTAGGAGAGGAACTCTGAAGACGTTAAACCTGGAGGGTTTACCTGGAGAGAGTTCCGGGGGTCAACGCCCCCGCGGCCCGGTCTGTGACCAGGCCTCCTTAGGTCAGTGTCCCAGGATGCGACCCACACCAGTCGACTAACACCCAGGTACCCATTTTACTGATGGGGAACATAGACAACAGGTGGAAAGAAACACGTCCAATGTTTCTACTCTGGCTGGGAATCGAACCCAGGCCCTCGCCGTATGAAGCGAGAGCGTTAACCACCAGGCCACCAGAGCCTGGTGAAGGATAATTTGACCCTAGTAAAGAAACTGAAGATTTTCAAGAAGGAAGAAAGATGGTGTGGCTTTAGTTACTTCTTGGTTTACCTAACTTAGTTCCTGCCTCTTTTGTTATGTTTTTCTATACCTTTTCCATGCGTTGTTTTAACATGCTGGAGTCTAATTCCAGTTGCTATAAATCTGGTTGCTCCTTTAATTTATCTGCGTCATTGCGTAGCTTTTCCTGTCATCTCCAGGTTTAAATCCCATTGTAAATTAATCATTTACGACGTGGACGCAAGGACAGGGACGGATCTACTGTGACACTGATGAAGCCTTGCTTCAGGGCCCCTAATCCTGGAGGGGCCCAGAAGCGACTTAGGTCCACATTGCTTGAAAATTTTGGGTCTACTGTATGAGAAGGGCTTCTGAAAAATATTAATAATGCAGTGTAATTCAAGCCATAATAGTAATTAAAATAAAAATTTAAAAGTTATTAAAGTACGATGTAGGGTAGTCGTTGATAGTTGCGAGGGGCCCCATAACAGTTCAAGCTTCAGGGCCCCAAAAATGTAGATATCCGCCACTGCGCACGAAGCTCTTTGTTCGGGCCTATCCTTATCGTATACCATAACGATCCCAATACTGATCTCTGCTAAGCCCCACCAATCCCACTTCAACATTTATATTCTTACCTCCAGATCTTTACTCCGTGTCTCCTTCCTTTAAGTATTCTTGGATCCTTTGTAGTACCTTTCCTATTATTCTCATTTGTTCTTACACGTAAGTAGTTAGTATAGTGTATTACAAGCGATAGCTACACTCTTGCAGTAAGTGTTCCACAAACCCCTCTCTGTCTCATTTTATCTGACACTGGCGTATAACTCGAGGGAATTTGTGAGACAGTCATTACCGTCCCTAAGTTCTCTTCTCTGCATGTGTTCCACCACTCTCCTGATTATCTCCTCCATTACCTTACAAAGTATGCAAGTAGAGGATACTGACTTAAAGTTCAAAGTAACGTACGTGTGTGTGTGTGGGGGGGGGTGTACTCACCTATTTGTGGTTGCAGGGGTCGAGACTCGGCTCCTGGTCCGGTCTCTTCACTGGTAGCTACTAGATCCTCTCTCTCCCTGCTCCATGAGCTTAATCACACCTCGTCTTAAAAACTATGTATGGTTCCTGCCTGCACTACATCACTTGCTAGACTATTCCACTTCCTGATAAGTATGACTGAAGAAATACTTCCTAACATCCCTTTGACTCGTCTGAGTCTTCAACTTCCAATTGTAACCCATTGCGTCTTGTGTCCCCTCTCTGGAACATCCTGTCTCTGTCCACTTTATCTGTTCCTGGCAGTATATGTCGTTATCATGTCTCCCTAAACCCTCCTGTCCTCCAGTGTCGTCAGGCAGATTTCCCTTAACCTTTCTTCGTAGGTGTGTGTGTTTGTGTTTGTGTGTGTGTGTGTGTGTGTGTGTGTGTGTGTGTGTGTGTGTGTGTGTGTGTGTGTGTGTGTGTGAGTGAGTGAGTGAGTGAGTGAGTGAGTGAGTGAGTGAGTGAGTGAGTGAGTGAGAGAGAGAGAGAGAGAGAGAGAGAGAGAGAGAGAGAGAGAGAGAGAGAGAGAGAGAGAGAGCAAGTGTGAAACCTTGAGTTCTCTCTCACGCCCACATGCCGTCATCAAAGAGCTTCGGTGGCCTTTGACATGTAATGCGTGACCTCTGACCACGGGGGGTTAAAAGGATGAATGCCATGTCTGCTTCCATCGACGGTGGGAGAGAGAGAGAGAGAGAATTAATGATATATTCACTGTTTCTATCCCATGCCTGTCACTTTTCGCCACTTCAAAACAAAAACTAAAAGGAGAATATTGATTTATCAAAACCCTCAGTAACGCAGCATCGACCTAAGAATTAATACCTCGCAGATTCAAACTCCCAACTGCGTGGAATCTATAATCAGTTCCATAGAAGCTATAACCAATAGGAAACTCAGCTACGTAATAGTTTATCAGAAGTGGTAATTAAATTTTTGATGGAATGATTCTAAGTTGTGACTTACCTGGGAGGGCGGCGGTGGCGGGAAGCAGCATCACCGGCAGCACCGCCTGCAGCACCGCCAGCAAGAATCCCCTCATCAGGTCTGGTGCTCCGGACTAAGATGAAGCTAGTCTAGGAGGTTCTAAGGTGTTCAAGTGAACCTTACGTGCTGGCAGGTGCAAGGAACCTGCTCCCTCTCTCTCGACCTGTGGGGGAGAGAGAAAAAACATTAGTAATCTCTGAGACAAACGTGTTTTTAATTACGTGTGTAGTGCTGAGTAATGTAAAGATTGCTGAGGCTTCGGGCTACAGGAGCCATCACCACTACCACCACAACCACCACTGCTGCTGCAGCCCGGAGCCATCACCACTACCACCACAACCACCACTGCTGCTGCAGCCCGGAGCCATCACCACTACCACCACAACCACCATTGCTGCAGCAGCCCGGAGCCATCACCACTACCACCACAACCACCATTGCTGCAGATCGGAGCCATCACCACTACCACCACAACCACCACTGCTGCAGCCCGGAGCCATCACCACTACCACCACAACCACCACTGCTGCAGCCCGGAGCCATCACCACTACCACCACAAACACCACTGCTGCAGCCCGGAGCCATCACCACTACCACCACAACCACCACTGCTGCAGCCCGGAGCCATCACCACTACCACCACTGCTGCAGCCCGGAGCCATCACCACCACCACCACAACCACCACTGCTGCAGCCCAGAGCCATCACCACTACCACCACAACCACCACTGCTGCAGCACGGAGCCATAACCACTACCACCACAACCACCACTGCTGCTGCAGCCCGGAGCCATCACTACTACCACCACAACCACCACTGCTGCTGCAGCCCGGAGCCATCACCACTACCACCACAACCACCACTGCTGCCGCAGCCCGGAGCCATCACCACTACCACCACTGCTGCAGCCCGGAGCCATCACCACCACCACCACAACCACCACTGCTGCAGCCCGGAGCCATCACCACTACCACCACAATCACCACTGCTGCAGCATGGAGCCATCACCACTACCACCACAACCACCACTGCTGCAGACCGGAGCCATCACCACTACCACCACAACCACCACTGCTGCAGCCCGGAGCCATCACCACTACCACCACTGCTGCAGCCCGGAGCCATCACCACTACCACCACTGCTGCAGCCCGGAGCCATCACCCCTACCACTACAACCACCACTGCTGCTGCCCGGAGCCATCACCACTACCACCACAACCACCACTGCTGCTGCAGCCCAGAGCCATCACCACCACCACGACAACCACCACTGCTGCAGCCCGGAGCCATCACCACTACCACCACAACCACCACTGCTGCTGCAGCCCGGAGCCATCACCACTACCACCACAACCACCACTGCTGCTGCTGCAGCCCGGAGCCATCACCACTACCACCACAACCACCACTGCTGCAGCCCAGAGCCATCACCACTACCACCACAACCACCACTGCTGCCGCAACCCGGAGCCATCACCACTACCACCACTGCTGCAACCCGGAGCCATCACCACTACCACCACAACCACCACTGCTGCAGCCAGGAGCCATCACCACTAACACCACAACCACCACTGCTGCCGCAACCCGGAGCCATCACCACTACCACCACTGCTGCAACCCGGAGCCATCACCACTACCACCACAACCACCATTGCTGCAGCCCAGAGCCATCACCACTACCACCACAACCACCACTGCTGCAGCCAGGAGCCATCACCACTACCACCACAACCACCACTGCTGCCGCAACCCGGAGCCATCACACTACCACCACAACCACCACTGCTGCCGCAACCCGGAGTCATCACCACTACCACCACAACCACCACTGCTGCAGCCCGGAGCCATCACCACTACCACCACAACCACCACTGCTGCAGCCCGGAGTCATCACCACTACCACCACTGCTGCAACCCGGAGTCATCACCACTACCACCACAACCACCACTGCTGCTGCAGCCCGGAGCCATCACCACTACCACCACAACCACCACTGCTGCAGCCCGGAGCCATCACCACTACCACCACTGCTGCAACCCGGAGTCATCACCACTACCACCACAACCACCACTGCTGCAGCCCAGAGCCATCACCACTACCACCACAACCACCACTGCTGCAGCCCGGAGTCATCACCACTACCACCACAACCACCACTGCTGCAGCCCCGAGCCATCACCACTACCACCACAACCACCACTGCTGCCGCAACCCGGAGTCATCACCACTACCACCACTGCTGCAGCCCGGAGCCATCACCACTACCACCACAACCACCACTGCTGCAGCCTGGAGCCATCACCACTACCACCACAACCACCACTGCTGCAGCCAGGAGCCATCACCACTACCACCACAACCACCACTGCTGCAGCCCGGAGCCATCACTACAACCACAACTGTTGCAGCCCGGAGCCATCACCACTACCACCACAACCACCACTGCTGCAGCCCGGAGCCATCACCACTACAACCACAACTGCTGCAGCCCGGAGCCATCACCACTACCACCACAACCATCACTGCTGCAGCCCGGAGCCATCACCACTACCACCACAACCACCACTGCTGCAGCCCGGAGCCATCACCACTACCACCACTGCTGCAGCCCGGAGCCATCACCACTACCACCACAACCACCACTGCTGCAGCCCGGAGCCATCACCACTACTACCACAACCACCACTGCTGCAGCCCTGAGCCATCACCACTACCACCACAACCACCACTGCTGCAGCCCGGGGCCATCACCACTACAACCACAACTGCTGCAGCCCGGGGCCATCACCACTACAACCACAACTGCTGCAGCCCGGGGCCATCACCACTACAACCACAACTGCTGCAGCCTGGAGCAATCACCACTACAACCACAACTGCTGCAGCCTGGAGCCATCACCACTACCACCACAACCACCACTGCTGCAGCCCGGAGCCATCACCACTACAACCACAACTGCTGCAGCTCGGAGCCATCACCACTACTACCACAACCACCACTGCTGCAGCCTGGAGCCATCACCACTACCACCACAACCACAACTGCTGCAGCCCGGGGCCATCACCACTACAACCACAACTGCTGCAGCTCGGAGCCATCACCACTACTACCACAACCACCACTGCTGCAGCCCGGAGCCATCACCACTACCACCACAACCACCGCTGCTGCAGCCCGGGGCCATCACCACTACCACCACAACCACCGCTGCTGCAGCCCGGGGCCATCACCACTACAACCACAACCACCACTGCTGCAGCCCGGAGCCATCACCACTACTACCACAACCACAACTGTTGCCACAAGTTACACCAACACCAATATTACGACCATCATAATACCAGTTCCACAACTACTAGAATTACGACCATTATCGCTACCACCAAGTGATCGTGGTGATGGAATACCATAACCATTAATATTACTACAATTATCATTACTACCGCCACTACCAGTCCCACAGTTACCAATATTGGTATCATTACCAACACCAGCCACTGTCTACTGTCACGGAATATATTCGATAAAGCTTCTTGGTTGTTATGCACCTTCGACAAGCAACTACTGATAGGTGTCCTCAACTTCTCCAGGTGTCCTATTACCCCAAGGGTCTTCACCCACCCCCAGTTGTCTTCAATCACCCCCAGGTGTCTTCAGCAACCCGTCCTCAACTTTCTCCGAGGTGTCCTCAATTACCCGAGGTATCCTCAACTACACCCAGATATCCTCAGCTACCCCAGGCATCCTCAGCTACCCCAGGTATCTTCAACTACACCCAGATATCATCAGCTACCCCAGGCATCCTCAGCTACCCTAGGCATCCTCAGCTACCCCAGGCATCCTCAGCTACCCCAGGCATCCTCAGCTACCCCAAGCATCCTCAACTACCCCTGGTGTCCTCAACTACCCCCAGGTGTCCTCAACTACCCCCAGGTATCCTCAACTACCCCCAGGTATCCTCAACTACCCCCAGGTGTCCTCAACTACCCCCAGGTGTCCTCAACTACCCCCAGGTGTCCTCAACTAACCCCAGGTGTCCTCAACTACCCCCAGCTGTCCTCAACTACCCCCAGGTGTCCTCAACTACCCCCAGGTATCCTCAACTACCCCCAGGTGTCCTCAACTACCCCCAGGTGACCTCAACTATCCCAGGCATCCTCAACTACCCCTAGGTTTAACCTATTAATCAGTTCAAGGTACACTATTATAACACTGTACCTGCTATTACTGATCTTCCTATATCAGAGAAGACTAAGTCACACTGCCTGACATCTCTAGAGGTACAGAGATGCGTTTGGAAAATTCAGTGACATTGCAACATCTAGATAACTTTCAAACTATGATTGGCAAGGCAACGTACCAGATTGCACAATTGCTGCTAGCAATTTAAGTACCTGATACATAGCATGTAATATGCTAAACGTACAGATAACCTTACTTAAATGTTGTACAGTCATTAGAAATAAATTAATAATAGTCCCAGAGAGACTATGTGGCATGCCAAGATCCTAGCTTCAAATAATATATAAAATGTTTACCCTATACATCAAAATTTAAAAGCAAATTATTCTCTCAATTACAACTTGTTTTATATAAAAACGAACTTGAAAGCACAAAAGAAACTCATCCTGCTCCAGTGAGTTGACGGATAATAATTGCAGTGTGTTTGAAGTTAGGAACAGGCTAGATGCTAGAAAGTAATCAATTGGTTGATTAGCATTTTCTAGTAGGCAATTATACAATACTTATAATTATTATAATACGTAGTGGCAGTGTAGCAGTGCTAAGGTGTTGTGGTGTGATAGTGTAATGCAGCAGTGGGGCAGTGTAGTGAGGTAGTGCTGTAGTGTCTTAATGCTAAAGTGTAGAAGTATGTATGTACTTTTCCAGTGTGGTAGTATTGCAGTGTGGTAATAAGGTGTTACAGTGGTTGGCAGTGGCAGTGTGGTAATGGCAGTAATGACAGTGTGGTAATGGCAGTATAATAGTGGCAGTTTTCTGAGGTCGGTGCTCACGAGAGGTTGTTACCCGTCATGAGCTAGTGAATATTTTAACAAGATTTCTGTCTAATATTTTACAAGCGTAAGTTGCAACGTCGCTGACAGGTAGAACTATGTAACTAGGAGACTTTCCTTCAACTGGATTGTTGTTAATC